CAAGTCAATGTTTTTAGAAACACTGTTTTTTTCATGGAATCGGTAACGATGTCAAACAGAGGATAACACCAACCTTATCTTTTGAGCAGTTGACAGCTGAGCTGGAATTTTGCGGGCTCCACTGATTACAGTGTTTCTTTGAATGTTACCTTTCCACTTTTAGTAAATAAAAAACAAACTGAAGCTTTGAATATGTAACAACTAAACCATTCCAAATAACTGGACAACAAAAACGGAAATAAAGATCAAATAGTGAAACCAGAGCAAAGATGTAACAGCAAAATAAAGAGCAAATCCACACTGACATCATGAAGAAAACTACACTCTGAAAACCCTTATGCAGAGGTAAGGTTGGTATAGATAATCCTTATAAGGTTCCACATGTCAGCTGATGTATACTCTCACAAGGCAGTTGACCACTCAACATATTTTAACAGCTATAGCAGGACACAGAGTGAGTGTAAACACAAGTCAGAAATCACACGTCATCCTGACGAATCCTATGGGACATGCTCATCATTTACTACTCTTTTTTTCTCTGGTTATATGCCAAAAAAAAAAAAACACTAGCATACTACTCATGAATAAATAAAGTAGTTGGTAATAAATAAGAGGAGGCATATGGTCCTGGGTTGTGCTGAGGGAGTGGGTCCAGACAAGAAGAGGATATGGGTCAGATGCAGGAGGTCCTGCAGCCCAGCCTCACCCAGCTAGTGCTGCGCTCAGTGCTGTGACTGAATCTGAAATCTGTGTTGTGACAGCCTAACTTGCAGCACCGTGAGCCCCGCCTCCAGGAAACTGCTATCCAATCACCAAAGCTTTTCCTGCTTCATCCATTCAAGCTTCCACTGAGTCTTAACACTCCTCAGGTTTACAGCAGTGGCAGATCATCAGCTGTCCATGCTGCAACATTCTGACAGGGCAGGAGAAAAACAGATCACATCGTCATCAACAGCTCAACTGCTGTTTGTATACAGATTAAATCTGAGCAGTACTTGATCATTAATATATTTGTACCATAGTTCTGAATCTATCAAAAGCATTGGATAGAGTGAATCACATTTTATTGTGCAAACTGTAGAAATATGTTTATTTTTTCAATACAGCAACTCTATGGCTAAAAAAATACATTTGTAATAGAGAAGAGGAGATGTTGTTTTGCCATACTCAAAAAGTGCAGTTACAGTATAATGTACACCAGACCTACATTCTTGGAGGCCTGGTCCTTGTTTATATAAACAATTTACTAGATGTGTCCTGCACTCATTTTACAGTGTTTACAGATGAAATGACTGTTTCTGTCGAACTCTAGTTTTTGGTCAGCAATTAAAAATGTCTGGTTTAACTGCTTATGCAGAATGGTTCAAAGCAAACAGTGTCTCTAAGTATCACAAAATATGACTTACAAGTGCATCTAAAAAAAATCTGAGTATCATGGAAAGGTTTTTGTGTAATTTATTTCAAAAAGTGAAATTCATATAATCTAGATTCATTACATGTAAATTGAAATATTTCAAGCAATTTTTATTTTCGTTGGTTACGGTTTGCAGCTCATGAAAATCAAAACTCCAGAATCAGATTTTATAGAACTTCATGCTTGTGTTTGCTGAGAATCTTTATGGAGATGCCAATTTTCAGGACTTAGCACCTGGCCACAGTGCCAAAACTACCAGTAACTGGTTTGCTGTGTGGACTTACAGTATTGTTCAAAATAATAGCAGTACAATGTGACTAACCAGAATAATCCAGGTTTTTAGTATATTTTTTATTGCTACATGGCAAACAAGTTACCAGTAGGTGCAGTAGATTCTCAGAAAGCAAACAAGACCCAGCATTCATGATATGCACGCTCTTAAGGCTGTGAAATTGGGCAATTAGTTGAAAGGGGTGTGTTCAAAAAAATAGCAGTGTGGCATTCAATCAGTGAGGTCATCAATTTTGTGAAATAACAGGTGTGAATCAGGTGGCCCCTATTTAAGGATGAAGCCAGCACTTGTTAAACATGCATTTGAAAGCCTGAGGAAAATGCGTCGTTCAAGACATTGTTCAGAAGAACAGCGTACTTTGATTAAAAAGTTGATTGGAGAGGGGAAAACCTATAAAGAGGTGCAAAAAATTATAGGCTGTTCAGCTAAAATGATCTCCAATGCCTGAAAATGGAGAGCAAAACCAGAGAGACGTGGAAGAAAACGGAAGACAACCATCAAAATGGATCGAAGAATAACCAGAATGGCAAAGGCCCAGCCAATGATCAAAGACAGTCTGGAGTTACCTGCAAGTACTGTAACAGTTAGAAAATGTCTGTGTGAAGCTAATCTATTTTCAAGAATCCCCCGCAAAGTCCCTCTGTTAATAAGTCATAAATCAATGTTCATATGCGGTGACTTCAATATAGATCTGTTAAATCCAAACAAGCACACAGGAACTGAGGAGTTTATTAACACATTATACAGATGTAGTCTATATCCAAAGATTACAAAACCAAGTAGAGTAACAACTCAGCATGCTACAGTAATAGATAATATATTTACCAATGTTATTGACAGCAAAATAACAAGTGGACTACTTATAAATGATATTAGTGATCACCTACCAATATTTGTGGTTTATGAGGGCCAGTATAGAAAAGAGAGGCCAAAAACAAATTTTTTCTATAGGAGGGAGATGAATGAACATGCTTTAAGGAGGCTAAAAGAGGATTTTATGGGGCAAAACTGGGAATCAGTTTACAGAGAGGAAGACTTAGATAATGCATATGAGAACTTTTTAAACATATTTAAGACTGTATATGACAGGAACTGTCCTCGTAAGCGGTATAAAAATAAAACCAATTCGCCTGACCTGAACACCATAGAGAATATATGGGGTATTGTCAAGAGGAAGATGACACATGTTACTTTAGATGACATAGCTCTCGCCTCCAGTACTACTGTGAGGAACCTTGGAGTCATTTTTGACCAGGAATGTCCTTTAAATCACACATAAACCAAGTCTCTAGAACAGCCTTCTTTCACCTGCGCAATATTGCGAAAATCAGGAGCATCCTGTCTCAAAGTGATGCTAAAAAACTGATCCATGCATTTGTTACTTCCAGGCTGGACTACTGTAACTCTTTACTATCAGGATGTCCCAATAATTCCCTAAAAAGCCTCCAGTTAATCCAAAATGCTGCAGCCAGAGTACTGACAGGAACTAGCAAGAGAGATCATATCTCTCCCATATTAGCTTCTCTCCACTGGCTCCCTGTAAAAGTCAGAATAGAATTTAAAATCCTTCTCCTAACATACAAAGCCCTTTCCCTTATCACTTATTAATTCAGACTTAAAAATCATTACCAAAGCCCTAGCTACTAGAATAGAGACAATCACGCCAATACTAATCCACCCAGACCAAACAGGTTTTATTGAAAACAGGAATGCTTCAAAAAACATCCATAGATTATTTAATTTAATTATTCTTGCACAACAAAAACAAACCAAAACCATAGTTTTATCACTAGATGCAGATAAAGCATTTGACAAAGTTAACTGGACATTTCTCTTTTGTACATTACGCAGATTTGGGTTTGGAGAGTCGTTCATCCATTGGATAAGAACACTGTACACATCACCTAGGGTGACAATAAGTACAAACGGGATCAGGTCACAAAGTTTCATTTTACAGCAGGGTACCAGACAAGGATGCCCACTCTCACCATCTCTGTTTGCCATTTTCATCTAACCTCTCGCAGCAAGGAATACAAGATTACTTACTCAGAACACAAAATTTGTCTTTACGCAGATGATTTATTATTATATTTACAGGATCCCTATAATTCTAGGAAACTTTACATATTATTAACACATTTTGTAAGTTCTCAAACTACACAATAAACTGGTATAAATCCAACGTAATACCACTCTCTGAGGATGCCTGGGATTCTGCAGCTCATAACTCCTCCCCCCAATTCTGCACAGGCAACATTAAATATCTTGGTATTAA